CCTAAGGCTCACCACAGAACTGAGCCTGGGCCAGCTCAGGACAGACTGAGCCTTCATCTCCTTGTTTGCAGAGACATACCATGATTTTAGTCCTCGGGAAATGGGAGGTGCTGAGCACTGGTGTTAGCAGTGATTTATGAGTCCTTTTTCTGAGAGGCTTTCATCCTTCCCTCCCCTAAATAACACCCATTTTCAAAATTCCCCAGTGTTTCAGTGATGCTTATGGGGCTGGGTCAAGAAGTAGTTCCTGTGTCCTTTTCCCGTGCCCCTCTTTGGGGTGTACATCTACTCCATGCCCATCCTTTCCCAGTAGCCCCTCAGCAGCCTCCTGCCCCTTGTTCCCACAGGCGCCGGGAACTGTGTGCGCAGCTGCGGCAGTGGCAACTGAAGGTGATTGAGAACGTCAAGCGGGGCCAACACAAGAAGACGCTGGAGAGGCTCTTCCCTGGCTTCCGGCCAGCGGTGGAGGCCTGCTACTTCAACTGGGAAGAGGCCTACCCACTTCCCGGTGTCACCTACAGCGGCACTGACAGGAAGCTGGCACTGTGCTGGGCCCGGGCCCTGCCCTCTCGGCCAGGTGCCTCCCGCTCTGGGGGCCTGGAGGAATCCCGGGACCGGCCCCGACCCCTTCCTGCTGAGCCAGCTGTGCGGCCCAAGGAGCCTGGGACCAAGCGAAAGGGCTTGGGTGAGGGGGTCCCCTCATCACAGCGGGGTCCCCGCCGCCTCTCAGCTGAAGGGGGAGATAAAGCTCTGCATAAGATGGGTCCAGGTGGGGGCAAAGCCAAGGCACTGGGTGGGGCTGGCAGTGGGAGCAAGGGCTCAGCAGGTGGCGGGAGCAAGCGACGGCTGAGCAGTGAAGACAGCTCCCTGGAGCCTGACCTGGCGGAGATGAGCCTGGATGACAGCAGCCTGGCCCTGGGCGCAGAGGCCAGCACCTTCGGGGGATTCCCTGAGAGCCCTCCACCCTGTCCTCTCCACGGTGGCTCCCGAGGCCCTTCCACTTTCCTTCCTGAGCCCCCAGATACTTATGAAGAAGATGGTGGTGTGTACTTCTCGGAAGGGCCTGAGCCTCCCACAGCCTCTGCCGGCCCCCCTGGCCTACTGCCTGGGGATGTCTGTACCCGGGACGACTTCCCTTCTACAGATGAGAGTGGCAGTGGGCTTCCCAAAACCAAAGAGGCAGCCCCTGCAGCTGGAGAGGAGGATGACGACTACCAGGCGTACTATCTGAATGCCCAGGATGGGGCTGGGGGCGAGGAAGAGAAGGCTGAGGGCGGGGCTGGGGAGGAGCACGACCTGTTTGCTGGGCTGAAGCCGCTGGAACAGGAGAGCCGCATGGAGGTGAGGGGATGGAAGGAGGAAGGGCTGGGTGCTCCTTAGCCACAGCTGGGAGGGGCCTTCTAGCTCTAGTTGGGAGTGTCAGGACCATCCCCAGGACTGTGAGAATCCTGTTGCAGGCGCTGAACTGGCCTCCCTGCTTTCAGTCTACTCTCTTTCCTGCTTCCACATGATTTTGCTAAAATGTGATGGTATCACTCTCCTGCTTAAAACCCTTCAATGGGTTCCTGTTGCCCTTACGATAAAATGAAAGTGCTTGGCATCACCTATGAGGGTCCACTTGATCTGGTCTTTGCCTGCGTTGCCAGCCTCACTTGGCTGTTCTGTCCTTTGCACTGCAGTCAGCTGAACCACTCCTGTATCTGCAAGGCTCTCTCTTGCCTCCAGGATTTTGGACAGATTGACCTTTCTGCCTGGAATGTTCTTCTCCATTAGCCAGTGTTTCTTCTTCATGTCTCAGGGATCTTAAAGATCATTTCTTCTAGCGAGCCTCTCTGATACTGTCCCTCTGCCCCAAGATATCCCGCCTGCTTCCCATTGACTTTTCCCTGTAATAGCTGGCATCATGGTGGCGTGTGTTTATGTATCTGGGTCTCTAACCAGAGCTCCTGTGGAGCAGCGCAGGGCCTGGCATGTAGCAAGTGTTCAAGGAATGTTGGCTGCATGTGTGAGCATGATGTCCTGCCCCTGGAAGTTGGGACTTCAACCTCTCTGGTCCCATGTCCTTCTTCCAGGTACTGTTTGCCTGTGCTGAGGCCCTGCATGCACATGGCTACAGCAATGAGGCCTCCCGTCTCACCGTGGAGCTTGCCCAGGATCTGCTAGCCAACCCACCCGACCTCAAGGTAGAGCCGCCCCCTGCCAAGGTGAGAGAGACCCCATTCCTCTACCTTCCCCCACTTACCCCCAACCTGCTCCCATGCCCCACCCCAAGTGAGAGCCTCCTTCTACCTCCACCAGGGTAAGTCAGAATCATCTGCCTGTCTCCTGGGTTTCTTCCTTTTCTAGGGCAAGAAGAACAAGGTTTCCACAAGCCGTCAGACCTGGGTGGCTACCAACACCCTGAGCAAGGCAGCTTTCCTGTTGACAGTGCTAAGTGAGCGTCCAGAGCACCACAACCTGGCCTTCCGAGTTGGCATGTTTGCCTTGGAGCTGCAGAGGCCTCCAGCTTCTACCAAGGCCTTGGAGGTCAGAGGCTCCATCTCAGCCTTGTACTTCAGTCTCTTTAGAGCCTTATACTTTGATCTCTGTTGACACACTGGAGGTCTGAGCTCTTTCCTGTGCCTTCAGGTGAAGCTGGCATACCAGGAGTCTGAGGTGGCTGCCTTGCTCAAGAAGATCCCTCTGGGTCCGAGCGAGATGAGTACCATGCGGTGCCGGGCAGAGGAGCTTCGGGAGGGGACGCTCTGTGACTATCGGCCTGTGTTGCCTCTCATGTTGGCCAGTTTCATCTTTGACGTTCTCTGTGCTCCAGGTATGGTGCCTGACCCTACAGTAAGTGGGGAACTGGGGTAGGGGTAGCTTTCTCTAAGAAAAACCAAGAGCCCCAAGGTTCTGAATCACCTTTAGGACCCATCAGGCAGCTTCATGGGTAGGTCTGTGATGATGAGGATTTTGGGTTCCCTTGCATTTTTTTCCTGTGCGTGATACTTCTGTCTGCCTGACTTACCCCAACTTTTATACAGTGGTTTCTCCCACAGGTTCCCGGCCCCCAAGTCGCAACTGGAACAGCGAGACACCTGGGGATGAGGAGCTGGGATTTGAAGCAGCAGTTGCTGCCTTGGGTGAGTCTGTCAACGTCTTGAGCACATCCATGAGCTAAGCCTGGTTCAGGTCTTAAAGCACATGAGACCTGTGCCTTGTTCTGAAGGGCTGTATGGTAATGGGAAGGTCAGGGTGACATGTGTGAGCCAACTAGTGCCTGTAAGACAGTCAGGAATTCAGGGCAAAAATGTGTGCTATATGGCCGGGTGTGGTGGCCCATGCTTGTAATCCCAGCACTTTGGGAGGCTGAAGCAGGAGGATCGTTTGAGCTCAAGAGTTCAAGACCAGCCTGGGCAACCTAGCAAGACCTCATCTCTACTAAAAAAAAAAAAAAAAAAAAAAGCCAGGTGTGGTGGTACATGCCTTGTGCTGCCAGCTACTCCAGAGTCTGAAGTGGGAGAATTGCTTCAGCCTGGAGATTGAGGCTGCAGTGAACCGTGATTGCACCAGTGCCCTCCAGCCTGGGCAACAGAGTGAAACCTTGTCTCAAAAAAAGAAAAAAAAAATTGTGTGCTATGGGTGTTGGGTATTGTAAGGGCAGCAAAACAGAAATCTAGGGAAAGGCCTAAGGGAAGTGGTAGAATATGGAATGTGGGTTAAAAAATCAGTAGGTCCTAGACCAGCGAACACCATGAGTAAACACACAATGCAATTAAGTTTTCATGAGAATGAGGAGCCCAGCTTCCCTAAAGTGGTAAGTATATGCTGGGTAAGCAAATTGGACCTGGTTATGAAGGTTTTGAAAAGCACACCAGAGCTTAGGTTGGATGTAATAGTCAATGAGGACCTCTATAGGTGACATGGGTTGGACCAAGGGAACCCCTTACCTCATATGCTGATGGCTTGGGAACCGTGGCCTCTTGCCTTTGCTGCCTTGGGAATTATGACTACTCTCAATCCCTATAAGGTCCTCTTTCTCACAGGCATGAAGACAACAGTGAGCGAGGCAGAACATCCCCTCTTATGTGAAGGTACACGTCGGGAGAAGGGTGACCTGGCATTAGCACTAATGATCACTTACAAGGACGACCAGGCCAAGCTTAAGAAGGTAAGAGACTGGGGTCAGGTGCGGTGGCTCATGCCTGTAATCCCAGCACTTTGGGAGGCTGAGGCGGGCGGATGGCTTGAGCCCAGAAGTTTGATACAAGCCTGGGCAACATGGCAAAATCCCGTCTCTACCAAAAAATACAAAAAATTAGCAGCTGGGCGTGGTGACACATGCCTGTAGTCCCAGCTACTCGGGAGGCTGAGGTGGGAGGATTGCTTGAACCCAGTAGGCAGAGGTGCAATGAGCCGGGTTTGCGGCACTGCACTCCAACCTGGGTGACAGAGCGAGACCCTGTCTCAAAAAAAAAAAAAGTAAGGGACTGAGGTACTGGGGCCTTTGACAGGCAGAGAAAGAGAGCACATTTTACTACCTTTCTCAGGGAGTTTCCAGTACAATGACAAAAGTGCTATTTTAGGCTGGGTGCAGTGCCTCATGCCTGTAATCTCAGCACTTTGGGAAGCAGAGGCGGGAGGATCGTTTGAGACCAACCTGGCCAACATAGTGAGACTCTGTCTCTACAAAAAATTAGAAAATTAGCCGGGCATGGTGGCGCGCGCCTGTAGTCCCAGTTACTCGGGAGGCTGAGGTGGGAGAATTGCTTGAGCCCAGGAGTTTGAGGCTACAGTGAGCTATAATCATACCACTGCACTCCAGCCTGGGCAACAGAGCGAGACCCTGTCTCTTAAAAAAAAAAAAAGAAGAAGAGGAAAAAAAGAAAAGTGCTCTTCTGCCCGTAGGAGGTAAGTAGGGAATCTTGGGGACATCTCATAAAGAATAAGAGGAGACCAATGGTTCTTATAGGAGTGCTAGGGCCGGGGGTGGAAGAAGAGAAGCAGAGGGCATAAAGTCATTCATTCGCTTATTTCAGTATTTATTGACTATCAGTATATTCTGCCCTGTGGGTGTTAATGGAGGATACCAAGATATGTTGGGGCTGAATAAGTTACAAACAAAAGACATGTAAGCCAGGAGGTCATCCTGTGGTTGTAACTGGGGAAGGCTCCCTGAGGATGTAGCAGTTGGCCATTTCAAGGAGACAGGAAGGTAACAGAAGTCAGGAGCTAAAGGGCATCCTGTCACTGCTTCTCTGGAGGTCACTGCTTCTGTCTTCCAGATCTTAGACAAACTCTTGGACCGAGAGAGCCAGACACATAAGCCACAGACGCTGAGTTCTTTCTACTCATCTAGCCGCCCAACCACAGCCAGCCAGAGGTCTCCTTCAAAGCACGGGGGCCCATCTGCCCCAGGGGCCCTGCAACCACTGACCTCAGGCTCTGCAGGGCCTGCTCAACCAGGGAGTGTGGCAGGGGCTGGGCCAGGCCCCACTGAGGGCTTCACAGAGAAGAATGTGCCTGGTGAGGTGGGGGCACTGGGCAGGGGGGATGAATGGTGTGGAGCTATGTTGAGATCCCCTTTCCTGGGCTCATCCCAGCATCCTGTTTTCCTCACCTAGAGAGTTCCCCACATTCCCCCTGTGAGGGTCTTCCATCTGAGGCAGCTTTGACCCCCAGGCCAGAAGGGAAGGTTCCTAGCCGGTTGGCACTTGGCAGTCGTGGAGGCTATAATGGACGGGGATGGGGGTCTCCAGGACGGCCTAAGAAGAAGCACACAGGTAGGACAGCCTGTGGGCTAGCATAGAGGGAAGGATAATCCTGAAGGCTGGAGTCTAACATCTGGGACTCCTGACTTCTGAGACTGACTTCTTTTGGGGGTTAGGCATGGCCAGCATTGACAGCAGTGCCCCTGAAACAACATCGGATAGCTCCCCGACCTTAAGCCGGAGACCACTTCGAGGGGGCTGGGCCCCCACCTCCTGGGGTCGAGGTCAGGACAGTGACAGCATTAGCAGCTCTTCTTCGGACTCCCTGGGCTCCTCATCCTCCAGTGGAAGTCGCCGGGCCAGTGCCAGTGGAGGAGCCCGGGCAAAGACTGTTGAAGTTGGCAGGTCAGTGGGAAGAACTCCCCATCTTCCCTGATCTGGCCCACCCTCAGAGCCATATCCCTAGTGCAATCCAACCATTGTCTCCCAGCATCCTCACTTTCCCTGGTCCTTCCCAACCTACCGGGATACCCATTTCAAAGAAACCCCAACCCCCGTCCCTACCCCATTGCCCCTTCAGGTACAAGGGCCGCCGCCCCGAGAGTCATGCCCCCCATGTACCCAATCAGCCATCAGAGGCAGCTGCACACTTCTACTTCGAGCTGGCGAAGACAGTGCTGATCAAGGCAGGGGGCAACAGCAGCACTTCCATTTTCACACATCCATCTTCCTCAGGGGGCCACCAGGGTCCTCACCGCAACCTGCACCTTTGCGCCTTCGAGATTGGGCTTTATGCCCTTGGCCTGCACAACTTTGTTTCTCCCAACTGGCTCTCACGTACTTATTCTTCTCACGTTTCCTGGATTACAGGTAAATCATTTGACCTGACCTGGGTATGGGAGGGGGATTAATTGGTGGGGATAAGAGCCTTATCTTTGTGGGGGATTACTGATCTGATAAAGAGACATTATTCTCACACCCCAGTGGTGCCCACACTAACCCAACTCTGCCCTTCTCTCCTTTCCCCTAAGGCCAGGCCATGGAGATAGGCAGCGCAGCCCTGACTATACTGGTAGAATGCTGGGATGGGCACCTGACACCCCCTGAGGTTGCATCCCTGGCTGACAGGGCATCACGGGCAAGAGACTCCAATATGGTGAGGGCAGCAGCAGAGCTGGCCCTGAGCTGCCTGCCTCATGCCCATGCATTGAACCCTAATGAGATCCAGCGGGCCCTGGTGCAGTGCAAGGAACAGGTATTTCTATGGGCAATCTGGGAACCTCTTCTGGGGTATCTGGGCAGGGAGGTTGGGCATGGGAAAGCTAAGGGCCCAGCTCTTGATTCCCATATTCTGGAGTTTACAGATGACTGTTGGTCCTCTCATGGCGACATTTTGCCTATTAATGTGCTTTTGCACCCATCTTTACAACTCAAAGGTTAGGTTTATTTCTATTTTACAGATAAGGAAATGGAGGCCTACAGTTTAGGGACCAAGATGATCACTCAGGATAGAAAACTTAGGGAAGGCCTCATAACATATTAGACTTGAATGGGAGGGGGCTGTTAAATTAGTTTGGAACTGGGACTATAACCTGGGGCTTGACTGACTTTGGTCAGTATTTATTCAGTGTGTGAAGCACTCACTGCTCTGATAACGGACTCTGAGCATTGACACTGACCTCTGATGCCTCCCTGGGAATGAGACAGCTCTGAGGGAGACATTGGAATCTCATCTAACACTATCCATGTGGTAAAGGCCTTTCCCCCTTAACACTCTGTTCCCCTCTCTTCCAGGACAACCTGATGTTGGAGAAGGCCTGCATGGCAGTGGAAGAGGCAGCTAAGGGTGGGGGAGTGTACCCTGAAGTGTTGTTTGAGGTTGCTCACCAGTGGTTCTGGCTATATGAGCAAACTGCAGGTGGCTCATCCACAGCCCGTGAAGGGGCTACAAGCTGTAGTGCCAGTGGGATCAGGGCAGCTGGGGAGGCTGGGCGGGGTATGCCTGAGGGTAGAGGGGGCCCAGGAACTGAGCCGGTTACAGTGGCGGCGGCAGCAGTGACAGCAGCAGCCACAGTGGTGCCCGTCATCTCGGTGGGGTCTAGTTTGTACCCGGGTCCAGGACTGGGGCATGGCCACTCCCCTGGCCTGCACCCCTACACTGCTCTACAGCCCCACTTGCCCTGTAGCCCTCAGTACCTCACTCACCCAGCTCACCCTGCCCACCCCATGCCTCACATGCCCCGGCCTGCTGTCTTCCCTGTGCCCAGCTCTGCATACCCACAGGTGAGACCAGTGTTCTGCTAGGGGGGTGAGATGTGGGAAAATACTGGGAATTCATAGGGGGTTGGAGTGGGGTACTCTGGGAGTATAATTGGGCTGTCCAAAAGTCCTGGTGAGGTGGTGGGAGTCTGGGGGACCCAGCCCAACTAAAATAAGAAATGACGTTTGGGCATGGTGGCTCACGCCTTTAATCCCAGCACTTTGGGAGGCCGATGTGGGTGGATCACTTGAGGTCAGAAGTTCGAGACCAGCCTGGCCAACATGCGGAAACCCCATCTTTACTAAAAATTAGCTGGGTGCACGCCTATAATCCCAGCTTCTTGGGAGGCTGAGATGGGAATCACTTGAACCTGGGAGGCAGAGGTTGCAGTGAGCCGACACTGTGTCCCTGCTCTCCAGCCTGGAGAACAGAGCAAGACTCTGTCTCAAAAAAAAAAAAAAAAAAAGAACTGTCAGGATAGCAGCTTGTGGGGGTGAAGCAGGAGAGCAACATCCTAATCGAACTTAGCATCTGCCCTCTGTTCTTCTCCCTGCCCCTAGGGCGTGCATCCTGCATTCCTGGGGGCTCAATACCCTTATTCAGTGACTCCTCCCTCACTTGCTGCCACTGCTGTGTCTTTCCCCGTCCCTTCCATGGCACCCATCACAGTACATCCCTACCACACAGAGCCAGGGCTTCCACTGCCCACCAGTGTGGCCTGTGAGTTGTGGGGCCAGGGAACAGGTGAATGGAGGGGAGGCACACACGGCAGGGGAGGTGGGGAGGGAATCTTCTCTGCCTCTCTTTGGGCTGAGTTCCTGACATGGCTCTCATCCCACTTAGTGAGCAGCGTCCATCCAGCATCCACATTTCCAGCCATCCAGGGTGCCTCACTGCCTGCCCTGACCACACAGCCCAGCCCTCTGGTGAGCGGAGGTTTTCCACCACCCGAGGAGGAGACGCACAGTCAGCCAGTCAGTCCCCACAGCCTGCACCACCTGCATGCTGCCTACCGTGTCGGTGAGAGGACATCCCTTTCTGTGCTCCTACCTGCAGTTGTGCCAGTGGCTCCTCAGAGGACCCTTCCTCTAGCTCTTCATTTGTTTACTGTGGGGTCAGGTGGCAGGTTGGGGTAAAGGGTGAAGAGGATACTCCCTACCATGTACCCACTCTTATCTCCCAGGAATGCTGGCACTGGAGATGCTGGGTCGCCGGGCACACAACGATCACCCCAACAACTTCTCCCGCTCCCCCCCCTACACTGATGATGTCAAATGGTTGCTGGGGCTGGCAGCAAAGCTGGGTAACACCTCCCCTCCCTAGGACCATTTCCCCCCCCCCCACCTGCTCTCCCCACCTTCCTTATCCCAGACCTCCTTCCTAGCTCTTGCTCAGAGTTGAGGCCTTGGTCGGGTATGTGTGCGTGCGCGGGGGGCGGAGGGTTACCTCAGCTCCTGGGGTGGAGGGAGGCTCTCTGCCAGGCCAGAGCTGAGATATGTAAGTTGGGTCCCTAGGGCAGAGGTGGCCACCCCCGTCTCATGCCCCTCCCCCTGCCCCCCAGGAGTGAACTACGTGCACCAGTTCTGTGTGGGGGCAGCCAAGGGGGTGCTGAGCCCGTTTGTGCTGCAGGAGATCGTCATGGAGACGCTGCAGCGGCTGAGTCCCGCTCATGCCCACAACCACCTGCGTGCCCCGGCCTTCCACCAACTGGTGCAGCGCTGCCAGCAGGCATACATGCAGGTGACAAGCTAGAATTATGGAGCAGGGTGGAACACTTCCTGGGTGGTCTTGTACCAGAGGGAAGGGAGGCAGGGGCTGGTTCTGTGCTTTGTACTAAGGCTCATCCTGCACACATCCTCCGCCAGTACATCCACCACCGCTTGATTCACCTGACTCCTGCGGACTACGACGACTTTGTGAATGCGATCCGGAGCGCCCGCAGCGCCTTCTGCCTGACGCCCATGGGCATGATGCAGTTCAACGACATCCTACAGAACCTCAAGCGCAGCAAACAGACCAAGGAGCTGTGGCAGCGGGTCTCACTCGAGATGGCCACCTTCTCCCCCTGAGTCTTTCACCCGTAGGGTCCTATACAGGGACCCAGGCCTGTGGCTACGGGGGCCCCTCACACAGGGGGAGTGAAGCTTGGCTGGACAGATCATCCTCACTCAGTTCCCTGGTAGCCCAGACTGACAGCTGCTCTTGGGCTGTAGCCTGGGGCCAAGATGTCTCAGACCCTAGAAGCCTAGGGCTGGGGGAGACAGCCCTGTCTGGGAGGGGGCGTTGGGTGGCCTCTGGTATTTATTTGGCATTTATAAATATATAAACTCCTTTTTTACTCTAGTCGACCTGGGCCTTTCCCTTCTTTCCAAACTCCATGTGCAGATGAACCTTGAACTGGGGGGAAAACTGACGCTTTAGTCTTAAGTTTTTCCCACTCCAGGGAGGCAGACAAAACAGAAAAATAAGGATGTTTATTAAGGACATTTCTAGCCCACAGCTAGGGCTCATACTCAGCTCTATGAGCCACTGTCTGACCTCATCCCCATTCAATGTGAATGACATTAGGGAGGCCGGGCCACAGGTAGATCCCACTGCCTGACTAAAGGGGCCATAGCAAGGGGTCCCTCCCATAGCAAGGGGTCTCTCCCATAGCCAGGTATAGATAGATACACTACTGTGGATGAAAAGGGAAATCTCACTGGACTAATACATTCCCCTATACCCTGCCTGAACCCTCTCATTCCTCCCCACCTCCCAAGATGATGGGTCAAAGGTACCTAGTACCATGATGTGGGGTACCAAAGGAAGTCCCTTTATTCGCCCCAGAACTATGGGAAAAGGATACCCTTCCCTTCTCAGGGGGCTACTGAGGTAGAGGGGGAGGGGCCAGGCCACTCTAATCCCCCTTGTGGGCCCTGCTCTGGGCTTGCCCCTTAGGGAAGCAGAGGGCATTTTGCTGGTACGGGAGGCTGGGACATCAGCCCAGACTGGAATGCTGCAGTTCTTCCCGAAGCCATGAGGGCACTGGCTGTCCAAGCCGGCTCAGCAGCTTCGACAACTCCAAATTATGGTTCCGGAAAAAATCCGTAAGGAAAAGACGGGACTGACAGGAGAAAATGGAGGCAGAAATGGTAAGAAGTGGGACACTAGTGGGACACAGAATCAGATCCTGGAAGTGGAGAGGGATTCCCCAGCCCCTGGCTTTACTTACCTCAGTGTCCATATCTGGATACCTCCGGCCTTTGCTCCGGCCTAGGCAGCGAGTCTTACCACCTTCAAGTCCCTGGCACCAAAATCCCTTATCGTCATCAAACCTGCTCAACAGGAAGAGGCCATGAGGTGGCAGGGAAAAGAGAAACTCAAGTTCCATAAATGCACAATGCCCCTCCCTGCCCACAGGGACATGTCTCTCCTTGTGAGACAGTAAATCCATGTCTCTAACAGACATGGTCAACCTGCTTCCCCATTTCCCATAGAGTACTCCTCCCCTGGGTCATGCTCTCCCACCTGAGGGTCCGTGTGTAGTTCAGAAAGGGTGTGATACCCAGGAACTTCTGGATGCTCTCCATTGAGGCTGCTGGGTTGGTACGCAGCTCTTGCCCATCCACAATCAGCAACTAAAGGGACAGGGATGTGGTTCCCTCTATATTCCTAAGAAGCCTCTGGGCTGAAGGGAAGAAGAGGGGAAGGGGAACCCCACTGATGGCTCTTGCGGGGATTATACCTGTCCAGAGGGGTAGTAAGTCAGCCAGCGTTGTAGATGGGTAGAATAGTAGCCAGGGACAAGACAGCGGTTCTGCAGGGAGCGTAGTGCCAGAGGGGTCTGGGAGGAGGCTGAAATCACCTGATAGAAGGTATAGTTCAGAGCAACTGGGTCTCCACGGGCTCGCTGATGCTAAAGGATGAAAAGAAGGAAGGTGAAGGACTAGTGATTTGACAGTATTATTATGCCCTTACGCTTGGTCTGGTGACAGACAGCACAGCATGGGTACCCATCCCCAAGGCACTAGTAAGTTTCTCTACCCTCACTCCTTCCTCCCTCTCTAGCAGTCACTGCCCCCTACCCCCTACCCCCAACCTTTAGCCTGTGTGTCCCTAGCTTCAGGCAGACCTGGTACCAGGAATAGGCCCTGTCAGCAGGATTGGTGAGCACTGTGATGATCTTGGCTCGTGGCAGGAGGGCAGCCCCCCGCCGTGGTACAACCTCTGAGTCAAAGTAGGTGGCACTTTTTTCAAATAGGAAATCAGTGCTGGCATTGGAAGGAACAGGGAAGAAATCCATGTACCTAGGAAGTAGCATAGAAGAGAGAGAAGTAGAAAAATATGCAGAGTGAAGTGACCAGAAGTCTGCTGAGGGAAGCTGGAATGGGGTATTTTGGGGGAAGGGAGTGTTCCTCTGAGAAACATTCAAATGGGACCCAGTCTCACCAGTCAATACCCTTGTGGTAATTAGGGCCGTTGAAGAACTGAATCTCCTCAAATGTGCTGGGGCTAGGGAAGCTGCTAGTTACAGCTGGGTGCAGGCTCAGGAAGAAGTGAATAGCTGTAGTCCCTAAATGGGAGAGAAAGAACAGGCCGTTGTGGGAGGGAAGCCCGCTCAACAGCATAAGCTTGAAGGAAGTGAAAAAATAACCACTCTGGGTAGGAAAATCCCCCATGGCCAAACGACAATGATAGGAGGCAAGTCTGAGAGAGAAGGGAAGGGCTAAAACAGTGGTTCTCTGCTTTAACTGTGCACCAGAATGACTTGTGGAGCTTGTGAAAACACTACAGATGATTCTGATATACAACCAGGGTTAGGAATCACTGCCTCAAGAGACTGGATCAGTGAGGGGTGGGTATAAAAGGAGTTCCTTTTTTTCTCCCTTAAAAATTCAAATTAAGGCCAGGCGCGGTGGCTCATGCCTGTAATCCCAGCACTTTGGGAGGCCAAGGCAGGCGGATCACTTGAAGTCAGGAGTTCGAGACCAGCCTGGCCAACGTGGTGAAACCCCGTCTCTACTAAAAATACAAAAATTAGCCAGGCGTGGTGGCACCTGCCTGTAATCCCAGCTACCGGGGAGGCTGAGGCAGGAGAATTGCCTGAACCTGGGAGGTGGGGTTGCAGTGAACTGAGATTGTGCCACTTCCCTCTAGCCTGGGCGAAGAAGTGAGACTCTATCTCAAAAAAAAAAAAGAAAAAAAAATTAAAATTAAAAACACTTTTTTCATTCCTGTGATTACCTGGAGAGAGGAGAGTTCCTTGACAAAAGGATCCTTTGGGTTTAAGGCAGGGCAAGAGAAGTTAGCTAAGGATACTTCACCTGTTTTCTGGGGTCCCACAATGAGGAACTTCGGGAGACGATCACAGGTTTTCTCCTTGGACCAGATATCTTTGTGCCTCTTGTCATCACAGGGATTCTGAAGCCAGGGCCAATAATCAGATAAGGCCTAGTTTTTTTTTTTTTGAGACAGAGTTTTGCTCTTGTTGCCCAGGCTGGAGTGCAATGGCATGATCTCGGCTCACTGCAACCTCCGTCTTCTGGGTTCAAGCAATTCTCCTGCTAGCTGGGATTACAGGCATGTGCCACCACGTCTGGCTAATTTTGTTTTTAGTAAAGATGGGGTTTCTCCAAGTTGGTCAGGCTGGTCTCAAACTCCTGACCTCAGGTAATCTGCCTGCCAAAGTGCTGGGATTATAGGAATGAGCCACCGCACCCGGCCTGGCCTAGTCTTTTCTTAAACCCCTATCCCAGCTGGGCGCAGTGGCTCACATATGTAATCCCAGCACTTTGGGAGACTGAGGTGGGCAGATCACCTGTAGTCAGGAGTTCAAGACCAGCCTGGCCAACATGGTGAAACCCTCTCTCTACTAAAAATACAAAAAATTAGCCGAGCGTGGTGGTGGGTGCGTATATTCCCAGCTACTGGGGAGGCTGAGGCAGGAGAATCGCTTGAACCCGGGAGGTGGAGGTTGCAATTAGCAGAGATTGTGCCATTGTACTCTAGCCTGGGTGACAAAGCAAGACTCTGTCTCAAAAAAAAGTCAAAAAAACCAACAACAACAAAAAAACACCCCACCCCTATCATGTCTCTCATCAGACTGAACTCCACCTTTACCTGCCAAAGGGGGCTTCGCTCCTGAGGGAAAAGTTCAAAGTACTTCTGTGCAAGCGGGACAGGAGGAAGGGTCTGCAGGCGCAGCCGTGTCCAGCACTGGAGGAAGCGCACCAAGCTCTCAAAGGTGTACAGGCCCAGCCGGTCATTTCCATAATTGGACAGATGGGTCATAAAGATGCTAATCTGTAAGGGAGTACCTGCATTTCAGATTTGGAGAGCCTACCCCACCTCTGAATTAGCCTTGGAGTAAAGGTCCCAGCCTGCAAACACCTTGACTCTCCAATCTTCTAGCCCTTCCTCTCAGCACCTTACCGGATTAAGCAGCACCGTCAGAAAGAGCTCTCCACCTCGGATGCTCCGGTCTAGTTCACGAGAGCCTCCAGGATACTCATTATAGAAGATTGTGTGAGTGAAGAGGCCACATGTCTGCCGGGGCAGCACCTGGAGGGAAAAGAAAAAACAGATAAGATTTGAAAGACAGAATGAGAAGTAGATGGAGGACACTGGGATTTATAGAGGACCCAGTTTGAAGTTATAGCAATAAAGCTCTTACTGAGGGTGTTAAGATTTTTTCACCTTTTTACCCCTGATCATGTACCCCCATACTTGGATTGGCAGTTGATAGAGAACATAGGTCAATGCATGTTGAAAGCTGTCTAAATGTGAGAGTTTGATTCAAGCTTGTATTGGGAGTCCCTCACCATAATGCCATTGTGAATGAAGCCACGACGGTAGCGGGCAGGGCGGAGATGGGGATACTCCTCAGTGCTGGTCACCTGGATGCCCCACACGGATTTCCAGGCCTCATAGAGCTGCGTGTGGATGGGGTACACGCCCGAGTGGTGGGGGGCCACAGCATACCCCAGATCCGTGGGAATCCCATGCTCCTGGGAATGGCATAGACTCTCACCAGGACCTGGTGAGGTTTGGGGAGTAGAGGGTAAAGAGGGTGGGGAAGCCTCCAAATAAAGAAAAATGCAAAGGGTAGGAAAAGGGTAGCCCATTAGGGGATGGTAGAAAAGGAAGCATGGCTGGGAGAAAGTATGGGGAAGAGATCCAAGGGTCTTACCAGAGCAAACTGTTTGTTGAGCCTCATCTGGTCAGCCAGCACGGAGCGATTGTGGAACAGGTGTGGCTGCATGTGACTCCACATGTGCGGGAACCACCAGAACTCTTTGCGGTGCTTCAGCAGCATGTCGTCCCCTGCATCCTCCTCCTCTGTCCCTATGACCACACGCTGACCACTGACCACAGCCAGTCAGCCCCTGTTCCCTCCTTTGTTTTGTATTAACACTGACCACCTTCCATCCCTGGGACAACCCTACTGATCCTTGCCTAAGTAAGACTTTTATTTGACCCATTGCCAACTTGCCCTTCAGCCACCCGTGCGAACCTAAATTCATGCCCACCACTCCTCACAGCAGTCTGACCCCAAACCTTGACCCTTTTCTCCAACTTGTCTGCCCAGGGAGGTGGACAGTGAAGGGACAGGTCAAGCTATGATATGCTAAAGGAGTAGGGGAATAAGCTCACCAGTATGATAGAACTTGCCCGAGAAGCCCAAGTTGAAGGTGAAGTTGGGGACTAAGGTCCTGAGTTTGTTCTGGGTGGTCAACAGAGCCTGAGAAGAATAACAGGAACGTGAGAAATCAGGAGCGCAGGCTGAACAGAAAATACATGAGAAGTAGCATTCTTCCTGCCTGGAAAGGCAGGGAATGTACCTATAACAAGCTCAGAATCAACGAAGGGAGTATGACAGGCCAGAGTGTGAATAGCTTCTAAGAAAAAAATTTAAGTAACAAGACTGACCTCAACATCAGCCACCTTCATGCGGGTCCCTTCCTTGCCCACAAAGATGTCATCGATGTCTACCAAGATGTAGCGGTCGAGGTCCAGGCAGAGGCGCTTGCCAGTGAGGTATGCAACAGCATCAACAAAGATAAGTTTGTGGAGCCAGAAGGAAAGGCCGTGACCAAAGAGCACCCGCTGGATGCCATCATGAAGCCCCAGGTCCTGTACCACAGTGGGAAGCCGGGCCCGACGAAGAACTGGTCCTGGCACCAGGGGCTCAGCTGGCCGAAGGCTGGCAAGAAGCACTGGTTCATATGTACTATGATTGGATTGGAAGATGGTCCAGTCATCACCAGGCAGTGGCCCTGGTTCTAGGCGGCTGGGGCGTGTGAGATGCAGTAGCGGGGCAGAAGGATTCACTTGGTAGTCCCGGAGCCCCAAGTTTGAGTGTAAAAAAAGGGGAAAGCCCTTAAGCTGGGCACTCAGTAGGCTGTGCTCGTGGGCTCGGAAAAAGCCAATGATGCCCACACCATACTCCACACAGTACCGGTCTAGCAGTTCTCGACTCCAGGCATCCAAGTTGACATACTTGAGCAGGTTCTCATAAATGACCAAGACATAGCGGCCATGGGTATTATCAGTCAATGTGGGCATGTCCCCTCGGCCAGGTGCCAACTCAGTGCTATAACGAAAACGACTAGATTCCAGGATGGCCACAATTTCCTGCCCCAGCTGTGAGTATGCACTCTCCACAAACACAAGGACCACAGGTTCAGTTCGAACTGTCTCTGGAGGCCTGGGGGGCCGAGGTGGAACTGGAGGCCGTGCAGGGCCAGGACCAGCTGCCCCACTGCTGCTGCAGTCTCCCAAGGGCAGGGGCAGGGGCTCCTTGGCCTTAGGGCTGGTGGACACATAGTAAGCCAGGAAGCCCATGGAGCCCAAGCTGAAAGCAATCAGCAGCAGTATGAGGCGGTGCAGTTCCAGCTGCCGAGCTGGGCGTACCACCTTCCACAACTGGAGCATGGCGGGGGGAGGAAGGGAGGGAGGAATGGGGACCACCTCAGGGGATGGGAGGTAGGAGTTCTATAGGCTAGGACTGTCTTGGAAGGGTAGGAGGATAGGAAAATATGGGACAGGGATTCCCTCAGGGGGAGTTTCCTTAAGAGGTGGAGATGAGTCCCCTTAGTATAGGGTAGGGGAGGCAGAAGGGGAAGCAGGGGGCAACTATACAGAGTCCACTAGTCTCAGGTCACCATGGCCCCCCGGCCCATGGCTTCAGGCTGCAAATCTTGCCAGGCTCTCCCCTTGGCCCTGGCTGAGTGCCTCACATCAAAGGTCAGCAAAGTTCAATCTCTGCCCCCCTACCTGTAAGACAGAGAAATCAGTGGGTTATTCCTCCTTCTGAAACTGTGTCATTAATCCATTTTCCTCCCCATCCCATCTCTCTTACCTCCTGCTTATTGGATAATCTGTTCTCAAAAAAAAAAAAAAAAAAAAAAAAAAAAGCCTCCTGTAGGAGAATCTACAAGCTAAGTCCTTTACCTTGGCTTCACAGCTTGTTCCCTTTCCCTTTCTTAGAATACCCAAATGAATGTCCAAATTCTTCACTCTAAGCAAAGCTCAGAGATGGAGCAGTATATGCAAATGATAGAAGGGAACAAATCTCCCATCAACAAGAGGCTAAATATCCTAGGCGGCTAAAAACAGGCCTGCTCTGAAAGGAGTTCCTAGCCCATGACTGAGTAGCTGGCCAGCCAGCAACAGCTCTGATCTTTCTGTGAGGAAGGGACGGAAAGCCCCGGAAGTCCTCAAAAGTCCCATGCTCCAACGAAATATCAGATAAGGAACTCATGAGTCTGTTAATCGTCCTCATCAATCAAACCCAATATCACAGCCAACAGCATTAACGAACTTGCAGTCAGGTGGACACTATGGTGGGGGAGTTCAAAAGGAAAGAGCAATCCTCATGATAGGTAATCATTCTACCAGTTTCCAAACCCAGAACTTAGGGACTCCCTTACCCGTTGCTTGTGAAACATTACCTGCCCCTGACCTTCACCTCAACTTTGCCAGTCAGGAGATACAAATGTAACTCCTGAGCAGGCCACACACTGGGTGCTGAGAAAAGCCAGACAACTGAGTCCACTCTAGTTCTCCTTCCTAACTTAACCTAAGTGTTTCTCCAACCCTATTCCTAAACAGCTCAGAAGAGTCCCTGAGCTAGCCTGGAGAGACATGAGGAATTGAGTTCAGTTACACAAACAGAACAACCTGAATAAGGACTGGATGACAGAGAGCAACAGGAGCTTAAATCACATCCAACCAATGACAGAAGGAAAGAGGACAGTGTGATCAGAAAAACACAGTTTTAAGGAGGTCTAATTTTGGGGATCTCTTTTATTATTTTTAGATGGAGTCTTGTTCTGTCACCCAGGATACAGTGTGCTGGTGTGATCATAGCCTACTGCAGCTTCAAACTCCTGGGCTCAAGTGACCCTCCCACCTCAGCCTCCCATGTAGCTGGGACTACAGCTGTGCACCACCACGCCCTACTAATTTTTAATTTTTTTTTAGAGATGGGGGTCTTGTTATGTTGCCCAGGCTGGTCTTGAACTTCTGGGGTCATATAATCCTCCCGCCTCAGCCTCCTGAGTCTGTTCTTTTTCTTAAATCAACCGCTTCTTTAAGTTTTATTGTCACTATCCCCACCTCAGCCTCCTTGTAAGGCTGGCAATCCCTCTCTACCACCTACCCCCAAACACACACATCTCAGGGGTGATAAGGCAGAGCCGAGGTCCTTCAGAATTGACAGAGATGATTTAAAAACAGTTCAGGCCAGGCGTGGTGCCTCACACCTGTAATCCCAGCACTGTGAAAGGCCAAGGCCTTTCACCTGAGGTCAGGAGTTCAAGACCAGTCTGGCCAACATGGTGAAACCCTGTCTCTACTAAAAATACAAAAATTAGCTGGGCGTGGTGGTGGGCGCCTGTAGTCCCAGCTACTCAGAAGGCTGAGGCAGGAGAATCACTTGAACCCGGGAGGTGGAGATTGCAGTGAGGTGAGATCGAGCCACTGCATTCCAGCCTGGGTGACAGAGCGAGACTCCGGCTCAGAAAAATAAAAAATAAAAATAAAAAAAAACAGTCCAGCTTTGGCCTAGGTAAAACGACATGAGAAGAGAGCTGGGGGAGAGGATCAAAATGGTGACGAGAAGGGGTGAATGCTAAGAATTTGATGCAACTTTAGAGAAAACATCGTAGTGAGGAGGTCACTGACGGGAAGTTGATACTCAGGATGTATCATCCCGTATTTGAGAACTTACAACTTGCCAGCCATTCTTCTAAGAGCTTTACACATATTTAATCTTCATACCAGCCCTAAGAAGTAGGGAAAAGGTACGTGCTCCATTATCCCCATTTCACATATGAGTAACTCAGAGAAGCTTAGAAACTTGCCCAGGATCACACAGCTCAGTTGATGGGAGGGCTGGGACTCGACGTCAGGCCTGTCAAGCTCCAGAGCCGCGTTCTTAGCCGCTGCATTTTAGCTTCATACCTGGAAGAAGCCGCAAGGTTTAGGGAAGGGGCGCCGCAGGCCGGGCCAGCGAACGCTGAGGGCCAGCAGGGCTGGGCGGGGTGGGTGTGTGCGGGAGGTCTCTGAGAACGGCGAAGCCAGACGGGAGCCGGCCCTGGGCTAGGGGAGACCGGGACGGCCGGAGCAGCGGCACGGAGGCTGCGGGCGCCGAGGGGGCCCGAGGCTGGCGGGTGGAGGGGCCCCGCCGAGAGGAGACGGGGGCACAGGTGGATGCGAAGAGCGCACCGGATGTGGGACACCAAAGGGGAAGGGGCCACGGGCGAGCGGCGGCGACTCCGGGGTGACATCGAAAACAGCCTCTGGGCTGGGAGAGCCTTGCGGGAAGAAGGGAGCCCGCCCGGTCCGGACGGGAGCGAGGCGGTTCTGAGGGAGGCCGGCAGAAAGGATCGGGGTGGGGGGCGCACGCTGGGCCGCCGAGGGGCCGCCCGGGACGACCCTGAGGGTGGCGATGGTGGCAACATCGAGGAGAGTCTGTTGCAGGGCCTGAGCGCGACCGTGGGCGGGGGGTCTCCTCAGGGGCGGCTCACCCGGAGGACTGGGCGGCGTCCCCGCTGTCCCCGGGCTCCGCCGCGTCCCGGGGCTGCCCGGCTTCCCTGCTCTCGGGGCCACGGGCCGCGTCGCGGCTGCTCCGCCATCTCCGAGCGAACGCTCTGCCGCAGCCTGGCCCAACCACCGCTCCCACCGGGGGAGGCGGCGCGCCGCCGCTGGTGGCACCCGCTCGGATCCACCGACTCCGGCCCTAGCAGCCGCGCGACCTGGGTGCCGGGAAACCAAGCGGCCCTCCGCAGTGCCGGGCCGAGCCGCGGCCTCCGAGACGGCGGGTGGACGCCCCGCCCGCGGAAGCGCACCCCCTCCTCCTCGCGCGATGGCACCGCCGGCCGGGCGTCGGGGACCGCGACTCGGTAGCAGGGGCGGGCTCAGGCCTGGGCTCATCCACTCAGCCCCGCGGAGGGGGAGCCGGGCCGGCCCACTCGGAGGGGACGAGGCGGAGCGGCCTAGCCAGAGGCGGGACCAGGGGCGGGGCGAGGCCCTCAACCGGCTCCCAGGGCACTCACCCTCCCTCCCCGCCCCGCCTCGCCTCCGCAGCACCGAGCGCTGGTTGGAGGTTATGAGGAAGTTTTTTTTTTTTTTTTTTTTTTTTTTTTTTTTTGCTGTTACGGAATCTCACTCTGTCCCCTGGGCTGGAGTGCAGTGGCGCGACCTCGGCTCACTGCAACCTCCCCCTCCCGGGTTCAAGCGATTCTCCTGCCTCAGCCGTCCGAGTAGCTGGGATTACAGGCGCCCGCCACTATGCCCAGATAAATTTTTTGTATTTTTTAGTGGAGAAAGGGTTTCACCATGTTGGCCAGGCTGGTCTCGAACTTCTGACCTCGTGATTCGCCCGCCTCGACCTCCTAATGCCTGGGATTACAGGCATGAGGAAGTTTTATTCTCAAAAGGCCCCAATGGGAGTAGGAGGAGGTACCTCTCTCCAACCTGGTAACCCAGGCTGCTAAAATCTATGCCTCTGGCCGTAAACCTCCAACAGCAGTAACACAATGGACTGTTTAAAGGTTATTTTATTAAATATCTTCAGTTCAAGGTTTCATTGTAACAAAGCTATGAAGGGTCTACCAACATTCAGAACAAACACTATTTTTAAATTATTTCTATGTTGTCATGCAAAAATTCTGCATCAAATGCCTTCCATTTCTTGTTTAAAAGGTGATTTTTTAATAGTCTATTGTCTATAGATGCTGACATTAGCCCCAGAAGAGGAGTAAGAATGCTAAGAAGTGGGGCTGGAGCAGCCATATGAAGCTATGGGTCTCAATGAATTCTAAGACCATTTGTCTTCAAGCCAGCAAAACGAAACCCTGTGGCGAAGGGACCTGCGTGCTGGCACTGCAGACTGCAGGGCAGGAAAGGGCTAGGGCCCAGGGGCTGGGACATGCATGAGCTGCTCGGAGGAGCCTGGCTAAATCCAAGCACCAGCACCTTTGAGTCTGCTCTCTTCTCAGCTGGCTCCCAAGTAAACCTGTAGCTTTGCCTCTTCTCCTAGCTCTCGTGCCTCCTGAAGGTAGTCCAGGGAACTGGAATCTACCCACCTTTCCCCCAAAAGTGGAGATGTTTGTGCAGATAAATCTGCAGCGTTGTTTTGAGGGAAACCAAGGCCATCACCAATCGCTCCTCCATTATCTTCTTTGCTATCTGCTTAGGGTATAGACCTCTTCCTCCTGGAATGGAACTCCTTGAGCACAGAGAGGGACAATGAAGGTAGAAGCCTTGGCTCTGGACACCTCTTTCGGGTTACATGCGGGGAGGGGTGATGCCCATGCAGATTGTCCAGCAGTAAGTCTATACTTCAGTTGGTCAGTAAAGAGGCCTCTATAAGGACACCTCTTCTTCTTGCCAGAGCAGTCAGGTCAATCTCAAAGACAGGAAAAGAGATGGACGTGCAGCAAGGAAGAATAAAAAGGGAGGCAGCCTCGAAGAGAGCCTGAATGCATAGAAACGACCACCACCTCTTCTCCCACTGCCTCACTCCTCCCATCCCACAGGGGCACTTGGCAGAGGGCCCAGGCCCAGATGAGGGTCAGCATGGGGACCATTACCGTGAAAAGGCAAGACAAAGATGGTCCAGATCAGCACAGAAACAAAACAGCCAAAGGCGGCACGGGAGCCCTGACCATGGCCCAGCTCTCTCCTTGCTGAGTTAGAAGAAAACATGAAGCAAAGCAGCAACAACCCCTCCCCCTCCTAGCTGCAGGGATAAGGCCTCAATATCAGGGCCCACATGCATTGTGCATCCTATAGAAATGGATGAGTGAGTGCATGTCAGATTAACACGAGGTTTCTCATCAGCTTCATGGCGGGCACACTTCTGCAGCACCAATTCTCTTCCCTTCTACACTAAATGAGACAGTACACATCAACGTCCGGGCCCTTAGTCCTGAGGCCACCACTTCTCAGCTGCCTCCACAGCAGGCTGGGAGCTCTGTGTTCTCTCCCAAGTAGGTCTGATGGTCACGATGTTCTCATCAGCCCCATTCTAGGCGCCTATGCAAGTTCCAAAGAAGTCCGTTCCTAGACCTGGGGTAAGCAGGCCACCTCAGGAGCTCCAATCACATCATGGCCCCCAAAGCTCTGTCAGAGTTCTTGCCTGGTCCCCCTGAGTCCATGGGGACCAGAGAGGCCAAGCTCACCTCTTCAAGGCCAGTGGGTCAGCCCGCTGCTCATGCCAGGATAGACCTCATACACACTCCTGCCTTCTTGCCAACCCAAGGGCTGTCGGTGGTTTTAAAACGCATCATGGTACGGATTCCTTTTTTTTTTTTTAAACAATCTTTTTTTCTTTTTTTTTTTCTTAAATGTAAAAAACACCTCGGTACAGCAGAGACAGACACGAAGGGCGGGCGGGAGGGCTGCATGCAGGGGCGTGCATTGGCTGCTGCCGCTTTTGTAATTGAATTGTTTTAAACCTCAAACAAACAGGACTGCCGCTGTCACTCAGGCCCTCCAGAGCCACTGGCTGCGAAGGTTCGACCTCTGGCTGGAATCTCCTAATGCCCCTGTCAAACAGGACAGAATGTGGTAACAGAACAGAGGACAATGAGCACACAGATGAGTTCCAGCGACTTTAACACGCTAAACATGTGGCCAAGTAGGCCTGAGAAGGTGGGGAAAGTGGGTGAAGCTAATGCTTAAATACAAAACTGCCTCCCATTTGCTGAGCACTTACTAAGTGCTTTACTTATAGTATCTTACTTAATCCTCACAATGATTAAATGAGGTAGGCACCACTCTCTGCCTCTCTTTGACAGCTAAGGAGACTGAGTTTAGGGAGGGGAAGTAACCTGAGGTTACCCAATTTGGAGTCACGGAGCCAGACCCCAGTCTGTCTGATTTCCGAGCACAACTTATTACAAGCATTCTACCAGCCTTTGCCAATCCTCTGGGATGGCCCACACCTCCTATCCCAGGGCCACCTCCCAGCCTTCTCTTCTTCCTCTGACCCCACCTGTCCCAGGCCCTCCCAGCCCCTCTCCCCCCTCAACCAGGTGCACCTGTGGCTGAGCTCACTGCAGCGGTGCGGCAGGGGCCCCTGAGCAGTGATAGTGGACATTGAGCCACTTGCCATCCCGACGGTGCCAGACCCGGGTCTCTTCTGACTGGCTGGTGCGAGGCCGACCCTGCCCGTCGATGTACTGGGTGAGGCGGATGTAGGCGATGCATGCTGCGTCCTCCCCAATCACGTGGACGTGTGGGTTTAGGATGGTGGTATGGATAGGCTTGCTGTTCTTGGACAGGACTACAGGGCAGGGTGGGGTAGGTAAGAGGACATCAGGCCTGGGCACCTGCATTTTCCTCCCAGCCTGCACTTCCGAGTCTTACCAACTCCCGAGCAACCATTCCCAGAATCTCCAAGTCCCCCCCTCCAAACGCCCTCCAGAGGCCAGGATACCACATTACATTAGTCTTCTTTATCCAAAAGGAACAGAAAGATGGGTAACAATGATAGTAGCTGCTGCTCTTTTAATCAGGCATTGTGCTGGGGTTTTACATGCCTGAGCTGTATTTCTTGCTGGATAATATTTTCTTCATTATAAGATGAGGAAATAGGTTCAAGGAATAATTTGCTCAAATCACACACCTGAACTCAGGACCATGTGACTCAACTGAAGCCTACAAATAGATTTCAAAAGGCTTGGCTCGCCCCTAGCTAGGGCTGCAGAACAAAATCATGAACTTAAACCATTCAAAATTGATTTGTAATTTTTTTTTTTTAAGGCACCAAAGCTGAAAGAGAATCACCAAAGCACCAAGCTCAGGATATTCCCAGGATTCTCTGGGGAAAAGGCAAAAGAAGTTGGATTGCCATTATCAGCATATGCTGTGAAAACTGTGTTGCTTTTATTGAGATTCACATTTTAGTTCAATTCAAATGTTAGACAGGGGCTACATGTCACCTTCCTAGAATTAATATAAACTCTGGAATTGCTTCTGCCTAACAGAATTACTTAGATAACTGAGAGTTTATATATGCAGCTGAGATGTGATAAGGGTGGGAGTCAGCAGAGAAGTTAGTGACTAACTATAACTCAGGGCAGGATAGGGAAGGCCCAGCATAAAGTGGGAAGAGATAAAAATAAGGAAGGGGAGGGTCTCATAGAGTAGACAGAAAGATGGGAGGGGGTGATGATTCAGCTTCTTATCCCCTTATCTTCCACGAACTGGCCAGAATGTACACCCCACCCCCCATACAGGACGCCTGCCTTCCTCCATAGTCAGGAAGATTCTAGCCACAACTTCCGATCTCACAAATCACCAAGAGTGCCCTGGTTTGCACATTCTTATCCTGGTTTTAATTTCCTCTATTTTGAAACCTGCAGACACAGAGCTTAGTTCTTACGTGCTGAGATCATCTCAACCTAATCTCAAAGGGTTTCCTTCCAATCCATCTTGGAAAGAGGTGAGGCTTAAAGAAATGAGTGAACTTTATTTTTTTTTTTTTGAGATGGAGTCTCGCTGTGTCGCCCAGGCTGGAGCACAGTGGCGCAATCTTGGCTCACTACAAGCTCCGCCTCCCAGGTTCACACCATTCTCCTGCCTCAGCCTCCCAAGTAGCTGGAACTACAGGTGCCACCACCACGCCTGGCTAATTTTTTGTATTTTTAGTAGAGATGGGGTTTCACCGTGTTAGCCAGGATGGTGTCGATCTCCTGACCTCGTGATCCGCCAGCCTCAGCCTCCCAAAAGTGCTTTGATTACAGGCGTGAGCCACCGTGCTTGGCAGGAAATAAGTGAACTTGATTGTGGTGACTGGGACTGCCACAAGGCAGTTGTGAAATGAATGGGCACTTGGGGCTCAGAGCAGGGCCTTCAAAGGTGCCTGTTTACAACCACCGGGGCACAAAGGGGCAAGCGTACAGAGTAGGAGTGCAGCATGAAGGTCAAGTAAGGGAAAAGTGGGCAACTGGGATGAGGTGAGCAGGAGACAGAGGCAAAGGGGTGAAGGGGCAGGCAGGAGTATATCAGCAGCACGAACCCACTCACGATTCTCAAAGTAAAACTTATGGAAATCCATCCCCTCCACGAGGTTACCAAGGGCCTCAGGCTCAAAGGAAGTGAGGCCTGGATCACAAATCTTCCTGCAGGGAGAAAAAACAAAAAAGCAGCCTATCAGGCTTCTATGGAGTGATCTGTCTTTCTTCCTTATCAGCAGTGTCTATCCAGTAGCAGCAGGCTAGCTGTGGCCATCCCAGACAAGACAGCGAAGATCTTTCAGGCCTGCCTGCTGAGCCACTCAGCCCTGTGCTTTTGGCCCACCACCAGGACACCGTGGGTGAGCTCAGGGAATCTACCTGAAAGGGCTCCCAGCTTAGGAGAAGGCTTAACTCACATACTTTGCCCAAGGTCCAAATTCCCTTTCCCCAGGGTCCTAATTGTTGTCTGGAAGCAGGGAAGGCCTTGGGAGATGACTTAGGTCACACAAAAAAAATGGGTCTCTACTTACGTGTAGGCCTCAAAGTCCCCATTGTTGATGGCTTCAATCAGTTGTTCTGTAATCTTAATGATCTCCTGTTTTCTCACTGTGGGGGAGAAAAATCCATCAATTTACCTACTGGGGTACCTCCTAAGTGACAGAGAGCCTTCCCCAGTCCTCAGGAGTCCCCTGTGATCACTTATGACAAAGACATCCCTCTTCTCTGTCTCTAGGGCCGTTGGCAGAAGAGCGAACCCACCTTCCCTTCCATCTCCCTCTCTGCAGTCTGCAGACACAATGACCACTTCCTCCTGAAGCCCAGCCATTAGTTATGGTTCTTTGGCCTTGGCCTGCGTCGCTATCAACAACCAGATTGCAGAAAACACACTTGCCTTTAACAGGTGAGGAGCCTGGTACATCGTGAATGCTGTGAGCCCCTCCCCTGTATGAGCAGCCTCTCTCACAAGCATCTCTCAATAAGGCTGCTTCCACCCCCAATTTACTTCTCTCACCTGAAGGGGCTCAGTCAGGTCTCAGTCACCACCCCCACTCTTAGCCCTCATTCAGTGGCCAGGATCCAGCCCTGGGCGACAGGCAGCCTGACAGCAGAATGCAGCTAGGGCTGGGGTGCCAAAGGACCATCAGAGCCCTAGGATGGATGCTTCCCACTGCTCATCAACTCCACAGGGCTTTTCTGGGAGAAATGATCCTGGAATTGTAAAAACCTGTGACAGCCTGTACCAGAGAGGCTGCTCCGTTTACCTCTCAAGGCTTGGGAAAGCTGTACATTTCACACCAGCTCTCATGCCAAGAGGTGTTCCCCAGGAAAACCAGACAGGGCTCAGACTGACAGGCAGGCAGAGGTGGTGCCCTCCAGAGCCTTCCTCCCCAACCCATCCCAAGCCAAGGGACAGCTGGTGATGTCCTGCTGCCCTGGGCTTCTCTTATAGGGAATGCCACTATCAGCAGGGGCTGCCGCCAGGGTAAGGGAGAGCGTGGGTTGAGCTTGGGCTCATCTTAACCTGAGCCCTGGGTTGGCCCAGGCCACAACCCTTTCCTCACAGGAGCGAAAGGCTGCAAGACAACTGCAAGCATTAGAACAGCACCACCATGGCCTGGCCAGGC